AAGTTATAGCAGTTTTCCCAAAATAGGTCAGCGCTAAGCAAGAGGAGCATGTTGCACATTGCACTAAGTTAGAGTGCTCGAGATCACTTTGCGAGTGCTCGAAAATCAGGCAGATTGCACTCGGAAATGGCTCAATTTCAGCCACTTGCACATTGGTTTCCTCAATGCCATCTTCCTTCTTTATGAAGTGGTTGGAGGTGTTCCTTGGAGGAGAGAGAGGGTGTTGTTGGAGCATAAAAAGCTACCCAAGGGCCACACATTAGGAATCTTGGATCTTTAGCAAGATAGAGGAGAGAGAAGAGAGCAAGAAGAAGAGGGTTCTTGGAGCAAAAGGAAGGGAGCTCGAAAATGGAGGAAAAGGGCAAGCTTCTTCCTTCTCCTAGCTCACTCATGGGTAACTAAACCTCATCTAGGGAGGTGATGAAGCCTCCCCTTTTGTTCATGTTCTAGATTAGGTTCTATTTTGGGGATTATAATGTATAAACTTTGGTCTTTTCATAGTTTAAGAGCTTATTACTTCTTGTACTGAATATTCATGTTTAAATGATTGATGTGAGTTATTTAGCTTGTCTTGATGATTCTTACATTAGTCTTATTGCTTTTATTTTCATAGTGACAATGAAGATATTAACTATGAATGGTTTTCAAGGCATGTTAATTTTGAAACTTGATATTCCATTGCTTAGGTACCTCCTTTGATGGACTATGCTTGATTCTTACTTTCATGTGCTTCATCATTTGATTGAATGCTTGATGGTCTTTTGCTTAAGTTAATGTATTTGATACTACACCCTAGTCTAGGTAGTCCAAATGTGTTGTCTTTTGATAGACCATTCTTGTTTTAATCTCATGAACTTTTTATTGGTTATGAAGCAACTATGTGTTGCTACATAATTCTTGATCATTGCTTATATAGTGTTTATCCCCAATTTAGTCTTGATTTAGCATGTATTTAGGGCGTAGGTGGATTCACTTCTCTAGTTTCCCCTTTTATTATCTCTAACTCTCATTTACTAGTACTACTATTTTATGCATTCTAAGTTCTAAGTTTAAGTGACAAACAACCAAAACCCTCTATAAACCCCTTATCATTCTAAGAACAATTCTAGACACTTAGGTTGCCATAGACTAGCGCAGTCCCAGTGATTCGACTTACCCGACCAATAGCCCTATTTTACAATGATTCGTGCTATTGCGAAGGTTGATGTTAGTTGATCGATCGATCAAGAGCATCGAATTCCATCTCAACAGGCCAACGGATGGCTCGTCATACTCCCCAGTGATCTAAAGCCCTTGTTCAACGTCATGCTCATCTGCATCGTCATACTCCCTCTCCTCCGAAGGAAGATAACCCTGAGCAAAGCCAAGCCTGAACCCTTTGGCATAGCGAAGGTTGACAATTTGGGAGAAGCAGGCAAACATCACCAAACCTCTATCCTTACACGCTTGGATCAAGGAGTTAGCCTTCCCAAGCTGGAGTTCAAACTCAGTTGCTTTGTGTTCTAGCTCTTTGGCCCTTTTGCCAACGTACTCAATTGACTTCAGCTGCTCGGTCTTTTCTTTCTTGGCCTCCTTGAGGAAAACTTCCAAAACTTCCACCCTCTTTTGAAGGGCAATAGACTAGTTCGCATGAAGAGAGTCAGCCGAGAGCTTCTTCAGAAGGGCGAACATTAGAAAGGAGCTCTGTAGGAGGAATAACAGCATGTTACATATACAAAAGACATAAATAAAAAGGGACAAAAGGGGAAAGTCAAATAAGTTACCTCCATGATAGACTGGGGAGCAAGAGAAAGGAAATCATCAGCACTTATCTATTGTTGAAGAATCTCATCTCTAGGTGGCCACATCCCTCTGGCCAGACCCAACAGAACTTCCGGATCCTCAGCTCTAGAGTCGCCAAGGGTAATAAAGAAACCGTCAGCCTTTAGCATTTTGGGAAACCACCTTTTGATGGATCCCGCAAAGTCACCTCCTGCGGTATCAGCAGCAACAGGAACTAGGGCTCCTTTATCCTTGAAACCCCAGCCATGAGCTTAGGACGCTTCGAAGGAAGATCATCCTTCGCCGGAGAGCGCTTGGGTACTTGCCCAGAAGAAACCCCATTCTGTTTTTTAGGGAGAGAAGACTTAATCGCCTCAACAAGGGTGTTTTTCCTCTCATTCAGTAGCATAGCAGTCGCATCCCTTTCCTTCTTGGTCGTACGAGCCTTAGGAAGAGGAAATTCCATTGCTGACTGGGAGAGGAGGAAAGAGGTAGAGGAAGCAAAATTAACTTCAGTATCAGAAGCCTCAAGGTCAATGGGCTCCTCGGGATTTTGAACAATCACGGGAAAGTCTCTGGAGATCGCTTCAAGAAGAGAAGAGGGGAGCAAAAACCGAGCGGAAGGGACGTTACTCCAGATGGTCGATTGCAAATACTCAAGTCAGTTATCTACAAATTTCGAAGGGAAAAAGTTAGTCTTATGACCCAAGAATCAAAAATATAACAGAAATGCTTAACCATACAGACAAAGCAAGAAGACTCGCCCAAATCGTCAAATGCAGGGATAGAAGGAGTATGGAAGCTCGTCCGAACAGGGAAATCCTGATCAGAAGAAGAGCACCACGCCCCTCCTACCCTAACAATCTTATCTTTCCATTCCTTATCTTTCCATTCCTTATCAATGTTCAGGGCCAGCCCATGAACCATATTCAAAACAAGAAGACAAGAAAGAATGCGGAAAAAATTAGGATTGACCTGAAGAGGGGTTAGATCCAACACCGAAAGAACCCGAAGGTAGAAAGGATTTAAGGGAAATCTAAAGGTAGGCAAGTGCAGAGCTAAGAAAAGTATCTCACCCTCTCTCAAACCCTCACCAATGCTGAAATTTAAGTCGTGAGGATACTCCTTTAAAGTAACATCAGAGGGAACACGATTTTTCTTTATCAACTGCTCAACAGAGATAGATTTCCTCTCTACAACATCCGAGGGGAGAACTATTGGACCTTCAACATGACTTGAAGTACTCACATTAACCGCCGGTGTCCCTGATTTAGAATCGAACGCTCGAGCGCTATAAGTCGGCTCACTACTCTCTTGACTCACAACGAAACATGAAATAGAAGAGCGAGAAAGTAATAGAAAGACTGGCCTTGACAAATAAGGAGATGGCTGAATAGTAGCAGACGGATTTTTGCTCAAAGCCAAGGTATGATTGCAAGTGTAGATAACCAAACAGCAAAGATACAATATATAGAAGATACAAGACAGATAACAAAGAGGTAAACATGAGACCCCAAAAATTGAAAACCTAAGTGGCAATGATGAGCAATAACAGTCACTGAAACTTCTCCACTTCCTAAAACAGTTACAATTCTGTGCATGAATTTGATTCATAAAAGGAATTAGGAGCAAAGTAAGGAGGGAAATTTCCCCACCAATCGCAATACACCACGCGTCCACAGAATAAGAAAGCCCATCTCTAGAGTAACTAGTCCAAAAGCCCAACATGGTCTGGAAGCCCAATGTGAAAGACCTTAAGAAGGCCAAGTCAGTCCATTCGGGAGAGCATAGCCCATTCAACAGAATACAGGCCAGGAAGTGGCCCAAGCCAAGCGCATTTAAAAATTCCATAACGCCCACCATAAAGGAAATGGCGTGAAACAAGGGACTATGAATGCCCACGTCTAAAAACTGCCAATAGCAGCTCCTTGTAAAGCTCTGCAAAAGCATATAAATAAATGATGAATGAGAGAGAAATGATCAAATTCCAATTATATTTCTTCTTATGTCAAACTCGTTTAATTTTAGTCGTACCTTCTTGTTCATTTTTTCTGCATTTTTTCTTAAGTGTTCGGGTGTAAAAATCTGCACCTACGCAAGCCAATCGAGGAAAACGACATGCAAAGAGAAGGTGGAAAACATTCATCTTCAGATCCACAAACTTTGCATAAGAATACAAAAATATTTATTTATATATAAACTATTTATCCAACCTTCAGACCTCCTGACTGACCAAACATGGAAGCATATTTCTCCTTGAATAAATAAATAGCACAATGGGACAAACTTCACCATTGTGTCAAGTAGGGGCGGCTCAATCTAATTTGAGGCCTTGGGTAAAAAATAAAAAGTGACTTTTTCAATAATATAAATAAAATTAATCACAACTCAAAAACAAAATATATAAATATATATACACACAAATTTATAATAACAAAAGTTAATAAAATTAAAAAATAATTAAAGAAAGAAAACCATTGAACCTGATTTAGAAAACCCAAATCCAATACTTCTACAAATTTTTCAATAGAATAAAAATGCATTCATAACAACTGTAAACTTGTAATAAGAGAAGACTTGTTGAAAAAAAAGATGATAAAACATAATATATATATATATATATATATAGAAAGTTTTCTCCATTTTCCCAAACAACAACGTTAAATAGATATTTAATATTCTACTGTTGGTGTAAGTTAACCAAAAATATTTTTAGTGCTGGTGTAAAAAACGTGAATGAGAGAGAAAGAAAGAGGGGAAAAAATATTTCATGATACAAAATTTTGGGCCTAATATTAAATTTCTATATTAGTTATGATTTATTGTAAAACTTGAATGAGAGTACAAAAATGGAAGGAAAAAAAGTCATATAGGGATGTAAATCTTTAGAGCTAATATTAAATTTTTATATCAATTAGAGTTCAACAAAACAAGAAAAGAGTCCGAATGAATGAGGAGAGAAAAAAGAAGTTATATCGAAACGTGTGGGGAGAGAGAGAGAGAGCGAAAAAAAAAAACCTAAGTCATTTTAAGATATAAATCTCTGAGGCCTAATATAAATTTTTTTTTATATTTATTAGAGTTTAACAATATTAGGAAATAATTATAGTATAACTTAATATAAGGAAATTTTAAAATTTTGTGGCGCCAAGCCAAGCCCTACCCTTACCCTTAATTTGAAGGAACCCAATCCATTTGGTTCGACTATTCAGTAACAAATGTAGAACTAAGATACCATATCAGATAAATCATGGGAAGTCATACAAACACAACCCGTAGCATTTACATAATGAAAAGGAGTCTACATAACTAGTTTGAGAACCCAAAGAGCTATAATCGAACTTTTTCTCAAATTTAGTATTTGAGTTCCGTCTCTCTAGTTTATTTTCAAGATTCAGGTGCACACCACCAATACAAGTGAAATTAAAGAAAAACCAGCAAACAGCATAAATGTGCCCGCGGAACCAAGAAGATCAACAAAAAATAAGAATAGTAAACTCAATATAAAATTCCATAGCCAATCCAGCGCTGAAGTCACACCTATCCTGATGTCTCTGTGTTCCAAAGGACGCATTTTTGACCTACGAATCAAAGGGATGGTTCCCAGTCCAATTGAGTAGAATATAACATAGGCACCCAATAGTATTGCCGCCGATTGACCATCTCCAATAAGGTACCCATCTCCAACAAGGTACCAGTTCGTATCCAATAAGCCGTCTGCTGCAGGACATCCATTCCTAGTAACCTTATTCACCACGGTCATATCAAATAACAAGCCAGTCAGAAAATTACTATAAGGAGAAAGAAAAGAAATACATTTGAAGAAAACAACCAATGGACTTAACCAACTTCTAAACCAGTAGGACCTAAATAAAACCCCGTTTTTTTTTATTCAATAATTTATTTTCATCATTCATATATACACGTGCCCATTTTCAGGTTTTTGCATGCTAGTGTCAAGATCTCAGGTTTTTGTACGCAAGTGTCAAGATCACGTCCACTTCATCAACTCCAAGCAACACCACTGAAGACCACTACCAAGGTTTTAGGAAAATTTATGAGAATGCCTTTTAGGAAGTAATTACTAGATTCAGACCCCACACACAAAAAGCAAAATCACAAAAAGCAAAATCAAAACCCACTAGGACCATAAATTGATCATATGCTTTAATTTAACGAAAGAGGACGAAATACGAGTAAATGGATAACTTACATTTTTCACTCCACAAGAAGCCTTGACGGAAGCTGAATGAAGCACACCAGATAACAGAAGAAGGCAGATAAAAGTGCCAAATAAAGAAGTTATCATTCGTTTTCTCCTGTATCTATCGACAAACGAGATGCTAATGATAGAGGCAACCACATTAAGCCCAGAAGGAACTAAAGAAAGCATTAAAGCTGTCCTAGTTAAAGTAGTCCCAGCCATTTGAATTATTGTAGGACCAAAATTAATCACTACATTTATACCAGCTAACTGCTGCGCTGCCTGCAAAGCTATATGTTTAAAGAGCAACCTTCGTAGTATATTACTTGGGGCTTTTCTTATCTTTGTGAAAACGTTGCCTTCCAATAAAGATCCTCCAACAGCTTTTTCGGCATCAATTGACAAATCCATAACAAGAAATGCTTCCTTTGCCTCCTCAAAAGTATAATATGTATGTTGAGTAACCATATATGCGAGATATTTTTCACCCTGATTAAAGGAAAGGATCGTCAGATTCCGAGTCATGATCAAGCCTAAAAAAAAGATGTGAAGCTATGATCACTCAAAGAGTTGCAACAAAAGCAAAAAGAATAAGAAATGAATGTATTTAATAGTTATAGGAGGCACCGATTGCAGATTGAATGAGAGGAAATTAGTAAAGATTGTTCTACAGGTATGAAAAATGACGAGAATGCATTCAATGAGTAACTTAATTCAAAGTTGTAACAAAAGAATTTTAGAGGGAAAAGACAACTAAAATGGAAGATATTGGTGTTGATAGAGATAAATAGATGTAAAAGATTTCTTTGTAGCAACCTTGAGTAGTTGGAAAAGGTTATTTTAAATTGAGATTAGTGAGCTGAAATAAAAATTAAGATAGGTACGTTCAGTTGAATTATAATTCCAAGTTTTACTCAAAAAAGTAGTCAATGCACGTATAGGCTTAATACATGGATGACTTGTCCCCCTCAAATGAGGGGAGAAGACTAAGTATCTCCAAAACATAACTTTTGAAACAGACAATTAAAATTTATTTCTATTGAGCCAATACAATAATATCCTAGAAAAAAATACATGAGCAGAAAATTTAAAACAAGTATGATCACGAGCAAAGTAAATTTAGGTAGTACAAGAGTTTTAAGAGGTTTCGCCAAGTTTATTGATAAAAGTTAAGACATAAAATTACAAAGATTAAAAAAAAAAAAAAAAAGATGAGAAGTAGATGAGAAAATACAAAACCTTTTGGTAATACCACTTGGGACATTCATAAAGAGATTGCAACAAACAAAGATGGATGAAAGTAGGGTATATTGCAAATCCAACCATCCAACGCCAAGGATGAGTTTTCTGCAACAAATTTGATTAAGAACTATAAGCAGAAAACACTTCTCTCTTTCTAAAATTCAAAAGTTAAATTTAGAATTATCCACAATTGATCCCCCACCAACCTCAGAGAGGGAGATAATATATACTAAAACATTAAATATAAGCACCTCTGTGTAGACTAGACTGATGAAGTTTGAGAAAAATTGTCCCACAGTAATTAGCAAAGAATTGGTACAAAATAGAACACCCAAGTATCTAGAAGAGAAGGCCTCCGAAACATAAAGGGGTAAGGTAACAAAGGTCATTCCAACTGCCAGCCCCACAAATATTCTTCCAATGACTAGTGCCACAGGAGACATAGCAAAAACCGACACAATTATACCAATAATGGACAAGAAATCAGCAAATAGAAGTGATGTCTTCGGCCCAAGCCTGTCATTCACCCGTCCTACAATTGTTAGGCTAACAAAAGCTCCTGCAGCTGCAGCACCCACTAAAAACGCCTGTGGTCAACCAACGAATATTGTTAGCTTATGATGAAACATATTCACTCAGTGCCATGAATAATGAGATAAAAGCAACTATTAATTAGAGAAGCAACAGTGAGTGGCTAACCTGTAACCAGTGGTCCTCAGTAACATGTCTAGAGTTGTTTTTAATATAAGGTAAAGCACTAGAAATAACACCTACAATACAATAAGCAGTATTGTTAAAAATTTGAATACTAAGCGGGTCTGATCAAATATCATTAAACTTGGATTTTTTTCCTTCACCAAATAAGATAACGAGTCTTGAACCTTGTCCAAATGGTTGAAGTACTGGACTTAGATTTTATTCGACTGGAAATTAAAGACTAGATATTTTAAGAGCAGAATATTAAGTAGTAACTGTGAATTGAGAACTTACTTATACTTGTTTGAATTTTTAAAATGTTTTATGTACCAAAAAAATTAAGTAATAAGTGAAGTCTCTTCACTTAATGTTTAATCTAATCTTAAGTTGAACTTATCATTCTAAAAGATATTCAAATTGCATTGACAGAGATGTATAATTGCTGAACATGTCCAGAATTTAACCGAGTTGAGTTATTACATACCACCTTATAAACAAGTGATTATTTTCCGCTTAAACATTCAGTAATGACCCATATGGTACTATAGTTATCACATGTTTTTATAATTCAAAACAAGAAAGCTTGAGAGAAAAACAGACGTGGCAGCATATAGTTTTTGTTACTTATTTACCTTTTCCCAAAGTGATAAGACATAAAAACCCATTTCGAAAGCAGGTTGTGTTGAAGCAAGAACCACCTTTTGTTCAGCTCAAATCAACTAAACAACCAACCAACAGCAAATAAGCTTAAGATCGTTCATTTGTCAAAGGTGGTGAATTTTCAACCCAACTTCACAGTATGTACGAAAAGTTAGAAGTGTGACTTTCTAAAATCAATCTTAAAGCATCAGTCATCAACATGTTATTTTAATATAAATGTATGACGTCTAGCCAATTACATCATGCATGTAAACACACTTTCCTATTATTATGAAAAGGTCAACATACAAGACAGATCGAAAAATGTTAAATGTTAAAACAGGTTATACCTCTGCACATAATAATTATAAAAATTAATCAAGTTAATCAAATGATCCAAAAATATGTATGCTGTGAGGTATGGACAGTTAAATTAGATGTTGATAAAAACACAATAGGAGATGGCTAAAGCGATAAGTCTCTTTAAAAATAAAACAATAATAAGAAAATATGAATTTGTCATTCACTAAACTTTTTCACATATGTTTAAAAAATAAAAAATATATGTATTTATTTAGAATTCAGAACAATAATGGTTTTTTGTATTGTACATATATACTCTGACTAAGATTCTCTTATAAAAAAATAAAAAAATAGACTGTTTAATCATTAGTTAAAGATCAAATGAAAAGTTGAGTCATGTTGAATGCGCATGCATGGCCTTCAATTCAAATTAGATCTGATATTCTCATTATATCTCAATCCTTCTTATGTAAGAAGTCAAAGTATATGAATCACATAGCATAATTATAAGAGTTGTAGTTCGGGTGCCTGATACGGGTGTGTGTCTAAGGGTTGGATTCATCTTCTATCAAATTATAGAACACGGAAACACAAATAAAAGTCTGGAAAAATCGGACACATGTACACGGACACGATATACAAAATATTAATTGACATAATTTACAATTCATATACAGTATTATTAACTAATCCAAGTCTTTCATCATACCTAATTCTATAGCAATTCATGAGAAATTGTGTGAAAAAACACGAAAATAAGGTTCTAAATGGAACAACTACAAATGCAAGAATGGATCGATTGAATTTCAATTTTATTAGAACAAGTTTAATTATTATGTTTATTGATTTTAATGCATCCTTTTTATTCTTGGTTACTGCATCAATTTGCTTTTGGACATTAAAATGAATAATTTTCATGAAATCATCTACTATTACATTCTTCTGTTATTTTCTTTTGCATTATACTAAATATTTGATTTCGATTGCCAAACATTCTAACTCAAAAAAGGAAAAGAAACAAAAAAAGTTAGACTAGTGATTTTGTCATATGATCATATCTTGATGTACATTTTTTTTTTCTGTAATTCTAGATCATTAATTTTATTAATTAATTGAAAACTAGAAGTCCAAAAGCTCTCTATTGTTAAAATGAGAAATGGATGTATTATATTTGTTTATATTTATTTGTTAAAAGAAATTAAAGAGATTGAATCAAACAAGAAGTTAAAGGGATATATAATAAATGGATGTCTTCCATGCATGTTTTCCAATTAAAGCACAAGTCTTTAATTACAAGGCTCGAGGTAAAAAATGTAAAAAGGGGGGGCTATATCTTAAGACCTTTTTGCCCTTTTTCTCTCTAACTTGGCGATTTAGGGTTTGTGGGTTCTGGGGGTTGCTTGACACGTTTCCGGCATTAGTTCACCGGCAGCGCACTGGTGGGTTGTGACAACATGGGGGAGGGTTCTTCCTCCTCTGCACCGCCAATGGGGGCTGGTATACCTCATGCACCAATTACTCATAACAAGCAACTAAATCAACAAAAACCTTCATGGCGTTGTTTCTTTGATGATGATTCACAGAAGAAGATGGAGATGCTTCCATATATACCTGATTGCCGGGGAGCGAAGGTGATCAAGATCATGGAAGAAGACGTTATAGAGAAAGTGGAGTACTAGAAACATTCTCTGGTTGGATATTTGGTGGGGAAGCGTCCGTTCTTCCCTCACTTTAATGATTTTCTTAAGAGGATTTGGAAAACAGCAGGTGCCTTCAAACTGATATCTTTACCAAAAGGGTTTTTTATGGTGCGATTTGATAACGAGAATGCTGCTCATGCTATTCTTCAACGCACACACACGTATCAGGGACGACCTATGATTCTGAAGCGATGGGATAAGAATGTTAATTTAGAGAAGGAGGTCTTAGGGTCGGTTCCTATATCGGTTAGATTGTTCAACCTTCCTATGCACTGCAGAGGGAAGATGTCCATTACGAGGGTTTGTTCCCAGTTCTCAAAACCATTGTGTCCTGATGAGGTCACTCTAGCGCGGGAACAAGGAGGTTTTGTCAAGGTTATGGTGGAGGTGGATGTTCATGATGAACTTCCAGAGGTGGTTCATGTGGATATTCATGGTACTGAATGTGAGATTTTTATTGAATATGATTGGAAACCTCAATTGTGTAGGAAATGTAATGGATATAATCATTCGGAATCCAATTGCACAATGCAAATTCCCAAGAAGAAAGTAACCACTGAATGGATTGTGAAGCAGAAGGGTAAGTTGGTTCAGCCGGAAGAAGATACAATTATTGGGGGGTCTAATTCTGAAGTTGCAGAAGATAATGTTATTGTTACCAATATGGATTCACTTCCAGTTGTGGAAAATTCATACCTTGGATGAGGAGAGAGTTGTGGACTCTGTGGTTAATACTGAGAGGGCCCTAATTTCATTTCAAGAAGAGTCTGGTGTGGGGGATGACAGGGAGGTAGAGGTGAATATGGTGACTACTGATGTTGCTGCTGTGGTTCCTAATTTGGAACCCATAGAGGACTCTTCTATTTTGGAACCTCTTGAGGTCTCTCCTTTAAAAAGTTTACATCACAAGATACCGCTGGAACCTTTGGGTATGTCTGGTTTACAAATTGATTCTCCTATGACAGAAGGACAACAAGACTCAAGTGGGAAAGGTAAACAAGTGACAGTGGAAGGATCTTCGCAAAATAGCACTCCTCTAACTAAAAATCAAAGGAAAAAACAAAGGAAAATGGAGGCAATTGAAGCTAGCTCAAGAATTACTAGAGGTATGCTGGCTGGTGGAGCTGCTCCACCATCCTCAGGCCTTTTATGATTGGTATGTGGAATGTGAGGGGGCTCAACAGGAGGGGAATGCAACAGGAAATCCTCTCTTGGTTGAGTACGAACTCTCCATCTTTGGTATGCCTGGTGGAGACTAGGGTACAGAGTCACAAGTTTGATAGAATTAGTAGTCGAATAAGGGCTAACTGGCTTTGGTGTCATAACTATGATGCAGTGTATGGAGGTAGGATTTGGTGTGGGTGGAATCCACTTATGTTTGATGTGCAGATTGTGGAAGTTAAGGCTCAAGTTATTTTACTTAAGCTTCGGATTAGAAGTACAGGGATTTATTTCTGGTTGAGTTGTGTGTATGGGGAAAATATTGTGGAAGAAAGGAGGGACCTTTGGAGTTGTTTATCTGATATGGCTCTCTGTGGTATCTGGTCCTTGGTTACTTTTTTTTTTTTTTTTTGATAAGTAAAAATATATTAGAAAAATGTTCAAAAGGGAAACGCATCCCTAATACAAGGAGAAAAAAGATCTAAGGACTAATAGAATCCAAGAGATCAAAGAAATCATCAATGGAGGAGCATGCATTTCCTCTTACATAATAGAACAAAGAACGAAGAATATGAATTTTTAAATTAGCTAAAGACGATTCTTTTCCTTCAAATGATCTGTTATTTCTCTCACGCCACAAACACCACCAGACACAATGTGGAACAATCCTCCAATAATCACGAGCTTGTTCTTTAACAGGACACCTTCTCCAAGCTTTAATCAATTGTGAGGAGTGCTTAGGCATTATCCAAAAAACGCCAAACACGCAAAAAATAAAACTCCAGCAATCATACGCCACGGGACACTGCAAAAGAATGTGGTCCTTGGTTACTTTTAGGAGATTGGAATGTTATTAGGAGCAATGGGGAGAAGCTTGCGGGGAAATCTGTTCCTTGGAGAGTACTTAGAGAATTCAATGAGGTAATTGATTCTTTAACCCTTTCAGATATCCCCATTTCTAATGGCATTTACACTTGGTGTAACAAGAGAAGAATTGCAAGAAGGATTTATGCTCAATTAGATAGAGGATTGATGAATGAGGAATGGAATAATGCGTTCCTTTTATCAAGGATCGATCTCACATCTTCTCTGCTGTCAGATCACTGGGGTTTATGTGTCAAAATCCCATCCAATGTGGCTGCAGGTCCTAAACCTTTTAGGTCTTTAAAGGTCTGGAATGCTCAACCAGTGGTGAAACAGGTGATAGAAGAGGCCTGGAGTATGAGGGTCAAGGGGGATCCAATTGTGAGGGTTATTATGAAACTTAAGGC